ACGGTTCGTATTGCAATCATTAAATATCATCCATATCCATCATCTGATACACGTACAGATCTTAACAACATTAAATCTGGAATATCATGCATTGATAGGATGCAAATGTATTCAAACAATTCACGATATACCAGCTGATAAAGTGAATTGCTACTCTATGAAATCTTTCTGATCATCATATCTCTATTTCTATGTATAGGAGATCAACACCTTAGATATAAAATATACATCTATCAGTGCAATCGAAGTGAAATATTTTGTTTATACTCAAAGAAATAAGTCAGTAGCACTTAAAGAAGACCTAGTTATCTTTGATTGAATTTCTTTATTTACACATGTAGACACTAATTACGCTGAATCGAATAAAAAATGACATTACACCAGAAAAAGTACGCGATTTGGCTGCAATTTTCAAAATCATATCAGTAAATAGTATTCATTATTACTCTTCTTCATTAATATGATCTTTTATACACAGAAATTGACAACTCTGTGTTTGACGATGAATCCAATTTGTGACAATGGTACAGAATATCCTGCTTCAGCATTACATAGCAATACGGTGAGCGACAGTATGTTGGTCTGCTCGTTTGATGATACGATTTATTTTATACTCATAGACATTAAAAGCATTGATCATTTCGAAGAATAAAATTCGATCAGCCGGTGCAAAAAGTCTCGCTGATGTCATACGAAACAATACTGTATATTTAATTAATTTTTCATCGATATTTTTTCTTACACAAATGATTTTCTACGAATAGATACTAACTGTATTCCCTTTTAACAAAAATAGAATTGACGATGAAGGAGTTCGATATTTTGCAGACGCACTGCAAACAAACACAGTAATTTCTTTTTTTTTCTTTATGTATTATCAATACGTTGAATAGGTCACTCATAGACACTAATAGAAATTGATTTGTCTAATAATCAGATTGGAAATGATGGAGTACAATATCTTGCTGATAGCCTGTACACAAATACCGTGATTCTTATTGAACTTCTAATATCTTTTTCATCATCTTTTACTTTTATTTGCATATAGACACTTCGTTCATTGAATATGGGAGCGAATGAAATCAATGCGTCTGGTATGGAGCACATTGCTAATGTTTTACAGAATAATACCGTTAATATCATTATTGTCTTTTATTTTCTTTCTGTGTTAAATATATCTTTTTCTTTTAACAGTCTCTCATCAAATTGAATCTTGAACGAAATAAAATTGGGACAGAAGGAGCACGACACATTGCACATGGATTGCAAATCAATAAAGTATTCTTGATATTTATTCGCAATATTAAAACATCTATGAGATCGTTCACTAATAGACACTAAAAGAAAGAAATATTGGACATAATCAAATCGAAGATGACGGTATAAAATATCTCTCGGATGCATTACGAAACCATTCGGTGAGTAAACATCTCTTTTGTTTCATCGACTATAATTCATCTTATTTTCTATAAGGGATGTTCATTGATGTTTTCAGAATGAACATCGCATGCCTTTTCATTAATTTTTACTTATTAATGATACTTTTTTAATATTCTCTTGTATGAACAAATGCTGAGTATGCTAAATATGGGTACAAATTAGCAAAATTTTTGGTTTTATTTTATTTTTAGCAAAGCTAAATCGACATTGAAAAAAAGAGACATTACTAAGCTATACTACCTTAAATTAATTTGTTCACATTCATGCAATGAACAATTTTTTCACAGAGATCACTGAAGTTCATTAACATTCTTGCCAAGTTAAACAGTTTACTATTAAACATTCAAAAGAAACAGAACTTTCTATTAATTTGTATTCACTGTACGAAAAGCCTTCTCTATGACTGTCGATAATGTTTCGAGCTTCTTTTCTGTTTTTTTTTCTCACTAGTCTAAGTATTCTATCTAACTTTTTTTTATTTTACTACCTGTAGCTGAACATGAAAGAATACTTATTACTACATATTTCACGTATACAAGAAGAACGAACCTCTCAAGTTTCTCCTTTTCATCCTATAGAGATTATGCTAAGATGAATTTTTCAAGATCGTTTCGAGGCAACAGCTTCATCCTTACAACATATGTAGATTTGATTTTTGTTCGTAGAAGAACAAAGTCTCTTATTTTATATGATACCCTATAATGAAGTAGAACACTAAAACAAATACATTTATGAATAATATCCAGGCACTGAAACAAATCAATGTAGCAAATAATCGATTCGAAATCGATGGAGCTCAACTTTTTGCTGATATTCTAGAAAACAATCATGTAATTGTAAATTCTTCTTTCATCAATTTCCAGTTATTTATTTTTTCGTTTACGCAGGTACTTGTTACATTAAACCTCGGATACAATCGAATCGGAGCTCATGGTGCCTAGCATATTGCCAATGCTTTAAAAAACAATACGTTAAACACCATTTGTTTTTTTTTCTTCTCATCTCATAAAAACCAATTTTCTATCGATAGGTACTCACTACGTTGAATCTTGGTATGAATGGTATTGAAGCTGAAGGAACCTGGTATCTTTCGGAAGCGTTACAAATTAATAAAGTAATTACTATTAACTATTCGAATTTAACATAGACATTTCATGCAAAAATTTAGACACTGGAACAGATAGACCTGGCACATAACAATATTGGAAACGGTGGTGCGCGATATCTTGGAAATGCAATAAAAATAAACACTGTAGTTTCTCTTTTATTTTGATCCTTCTCATACTAAATTTATTCTATATATATAGACACTGACTCAACTCTGTATTAAATTTAACCGGATCAACAATGCAGGATTTGCTAATCTCCATTCTGGTTTTCAAAATAACATGGTAATGTCTTGGTTTTTCTTCTATTGTTTCGTATCATTTTCTTTTTTTTTCATGTAGACATTAAAAGAAATTCGCTGTTTTCCAGGAAATACTTTATACTTCAGTAATCTTTCTCAATTAAAGACAGAAAACAAGCAATTAAAAATTTTATGAATTTCGATGAAATTTCCTACAAAATACTACTTAATACAAGAAAAATCAATTTTGCAAAAAACTTTTAAAACTTTTTTCTATAGGCGCCCTATTTTTTGTTTGCATTGTGGGTAGGTGTGGGGTGTGGGATGGGGTGAGTGTCGATGAAGGATGCAATGAAACCCACACCCACATACCCCATGACGGGTTACGGCGAAATAAGGTCAATATTAAAGCAGTCATTCGCCGTTTTATAGCCGGATAAGGCACCGTTTCCGACGGTCGAAATGATTGACCTGGAAACTATTATTCGAAAAAAAAGAATATTTCTTTAGGTAATTTAGAGTGTGATTGAAAAGGATACTTACAGTCTCAAAGAAAAAGAATGACAATTTCTTTCTCATATAGCACTTGAAACTTTATCAAAGTAGACACCACTATGTATTACTTTGTACTTGATTCAAGCACAATTTCAAGGTAAGCGTGTGGGTATGAGCATGGCCAAGGAGAAGAAAAATACCAACACCTTCACTCACATTCACACTTCACACCAACACCCATACCCTATAATCAAAATCATCTCATTATACTATATGAGCTACTCTCTTATTGGATTTCTTGAAAACTAAGCAAAAGAATGCTAAAAAAATGTGTCCCAACATAGACAGAATAAAGCAATCTTTCAGTAATGAGCAACAACAGCTACATCATGTTTCAGATTTTAATACTGTAGCGATTGTACTAGCAGCTTACAATAAATGATAAAGTCTCATAAAGTTTATTGAAGCTTTGAAATCTGCTGTTTTCGTCATGGAAAATTCATTTCGAATATATATGCCGATTGCGAGCGTTGCTAATCTATTGGATTTTGTGGCTTTGTTGCAGCACGATCTAAATTATCAAGTATGTCATATGAAACTATAACAAACGAACGTTTTTGTATATGTTGCTGATACACGAGATTGCTTCATTTGCTTTCACGAAGTTTTTATTCAAAAATTTTATGGGTCTTTGTTTTCTTAACTATATTCGAAGGTTATATACATGCGTTTCTTTTACTAAAAAATATAATGAAATTATATGGATGCAACAACAATATCGGTGATACATTGATTGGCTAGATATAAGTATTTCTATATCTACTACAAGAAGAAAGCTAAGAGAGGAAGTAAAAATAAGAGAACATGCCAGTAAATAACTATTTGGTTTCGAAAACCATTAATGTAGCATGACAATGAATTACTGGAGTATCTATTACTTATACCGATTGCATATGAGGACATAGCACCAGATCGAAAAAATAAATGTTGATCATCAACCGATATTTGGATAGGCACCTCACGAAGAACCATATCAATATTGTTGGCGTCGACTCTTTTTTCCACTCCAACAAATGCTGTATATGGGCTTAAAATATTGTATTTCAATGAGAGCCCAATAATACGTTTCATTATTAATTCTTTCTTATCTGTTGTCTCCTTCGTCGAGGTTGCTTCATCTTCAAAGCGTGATTGCAAAGAACTTGTAATCGTCTCTTTGGCAGCGAGACGTTTAATAAACTTGTCTGTATTCATACTAGATATTTGATCGATTTTCGCCTCACCTAAGAGATGGTGAGTGTCTCTTATAAACAGCTGCACAGAAGAATTACGATCGAATGATGTAGTTGTGTTATCGATGAGACCATACACGATAGCACGATCATTGGCATATACAGGAGGCAAATGAGTGGGAGCACTATGTACATGAGGCATACCGAGATTCCATTTCACTTGGACGTGATTAATACTTGGTTGCAAAGCCTTTTGAAGCTGTTCGTTTACGTATATGTCAACATTTGTGTTCGGCGGAATAAAGACAAATCGACCGTTCGTCGATCGAGCGAGACCTTTGACCAATGATCGACTAGGTGATGCACCCAAGCCAAACGAAAAGATCCGAGTAGACGAAGCCATTGATCGACAGAGATCAAGCACTGTTGACACATCAGAGATCTCACCGTCAGTAAGAAGAAAGATTTGGCGTGACCGATCGTGTCTAGGTGGATGGTTCTTCAGCCATTGTAGCGCTGTTAACTAAAAGCCTCACTAATAAGACTTGGAGAGATAGAAGAACAATACTTACCAGTTCAGTACCACCCAAATCAGCCTGCATATAACTAATAACATTTTCAGCTCGTTGAACATTTGCTTTATTATTGATCCTAGTGATTTCAGGAAAGATAGCCTCAAAAGTTGAACCAAAACGAATAATATTAAAATAAGAATTAACTGGAAGACTCTTGAGAAAAAGCAATACAGCCTTTCGAGTAAGACCGATCTTGTTGTCTGATTCCATCGATCCACTGCAGTCGACTACAAAGATAAACTCGTTTGCTTGATCATTTTCTCGTACTTGCTGAAAAACTTCTTCAGTAGGAGTGAATGTTACCATGACAGCACCTGGTTCACTGACTAGAATAGTGTTGTCATGCTTCTTAGCTAGTTGAATGTCGATTAGAATGTCTCGATCTAAATGGATGTTTTCTTGACTGAATTTGACCATATAAGCATCCTGTCGGGTGAAATCTACCGCGATTGTATGAGATGAGGAACTCACATCACTAATGAACTGTCCATTCATTCCAGATATTTTCTCGATATAACAGTGAAGTTCTATTGTATATGGACTCCTTTGGATATATTGGGAATTGGTGCTCGCTGGTGACTTCAGATCACCTTGATGGGAATCATAGCGAGGTGCTATTGTTGTCGGGATAACGAATCGAATAATCGATCCCTGAAAAAGATCCAATTCTGTGACATAGGCGATAGTAATAGTACATTCTGTTGCAGGAGGTAATGCACCAACATTGATGATGAAAACATCTTGTGACTTTTCATCTTGATTCAACAGATAAGCACCATGACCTTGTTGTAATGCTGCGTTGTATTCATTCTGTGCCTCTTTTTTTTCTTTGAGTTGAGCAACAATCTCTCGACTTTTAATATGAGCTACAAACTCATATACAGCTGCTTGTTCTTCGATGGGAAAGAAGTAGACGGCTTCAATCGGTACATTTTCATCATTGCGAAACACCTGTGTGATAGTAACGTCAGCAGCAAATGAGCGAATCGTTGCATCGACATGCACTTTCTTGAGAGGAACGTAAAGCGGTCGATCTGTAGTGCCATCGAATAGATTTATGTCTCTTTTAATTTCTAATCTTTGACCATAGGTTTGTAGGAATAAGAAAACGCATGCGTAGAAGACATAGAATAATGGGTAGTTAGTTATTAATTGCCAAACTGTGCCTAGAAAAAATAAGTCAACATTATATGATAGTTTAAAATTTAGGTTCTACATCGAGGTCAAGTATATTTATGAGGAGATAACTGATTCCTTAATAGAGCAAATACTCTAGAGAATAAATTTCTAAGTCTAAGCAAAAATTAGTCAGCTGCTTTAGAAAAAGACTTCTTTGTCGATGAATAAAAAAATTGCAATTCTCATCTGTTCATTCCTAGTAAAAATCAACACATTCATGTTGATTTGAGTTAAATTACGATTCATTTTGATTGCTAGTCAATAGATTCGATTTTTACTTTGAAAAGATGATAAATATTGAATAAGTAATTATAATCTAGATGGTTTCGGTCGGGTTGAACGATAACTAAAATGTGGAATCATAATCAATAAAACGATGCGTATATTGAGCGCTTCATGCTGATTTCAAATGATAAATAGGGAAAATTAGTTTCATGGATAATTCTTCAATGATGGCAATTTTTACATTGTTTCAGCGAGTAATAGATTCAGGACTGAAAATCAGATCACAACTGAATACAATTCGTTGTTGTTTGGATTTCTTCACGTATACTTGAAATAAGTCACAGGTCAAAAAAAATTGCAATATCGATGTCTGAACTTAGAGCTATTATAATGGTTACATTGATCGCATACATATAGATTTAAACTGCATATTATAAGAATTCAATTAAATGATTTATGATATATTTTAACTTGAAAAGAAAATCTTGAATGATTCTAAAAGACGTAGGCCTTTTAGATATTTCTAGCGCCTATTTGTCAATGAAATGAGATATATGAATGAGCAGACACGCTCAAGTGTGTCTTCTACCATTATTAGGCATAATCATTGTCAAACAACTTCTTGAGAAGTATCTCTAATCACTCATTATTAGTTTATAAATGAATTGTGTATAATGTCTTACACTTACTAAATTTTGTAGATCGAAGTATGGGAGCATACATTTTCGTCGTGATTTAAACAAGTACCTAAACAATAAACAGACTACAATCATAGGTATTGTGTGGCATAGGTAGTGTGTGCCTTCTTTCTACGATGAACTTAAACGAATATCAACTTCTAGTTTTTATTCTGACGAAAGAAAGAATGACACTACAAGACTTCGAAATATGGCTGAGTCAGATGAAGTAATCAGAGATGCCATTCAGATGTAGGTGGGTATAGATCTGAGTTTGTGTCTGAATGGGTGGCTGTAAGTGTGAAAATCATCTTAACCCACACCAATAACTGGTGAAACAATTGTTCCTACGATATGGCTATCGATGCATCCTTTAAATGGACTTTTTCTCATATTGAATCCACGTTGACTTAGTTTGACTATCACTGTTGTAAGAAAAAGAACAAATGAAATAATGTAACCACTTCACAAAGGAATCTGTAGAATAGTATGGAATGATACAAAAAATAGTCAACGTTGAAAAGATCCAACTATTTCTCATTATTTATTTTGAAGGAAAAAAAAAGCTTCGCTGAAAATAAATGTTCTCCGTCAGCTTAAAAGAATAAAATTGAGTTGATACTATGAGAATTGTCAATGTAGAAGTGAAATAAAAGTCGATCACCCTCTTCTAAAGCATAGAAATGAGAAAGGAAGTTCTATTCAATGAATCAACTACAGAGTCGGCACAGAACAGTAGCGACGCAGATGAAAACAGCAAGGATAAACAGCGAAAGGAACTGCTTGTTTTTTGTTTCATGATAAATTTCACAATACGAATAGTAGGCGACTACTAGAGAATCGAATATGTTTTTGTTAGGTTTTATTCTAACTTATATTATTTCAGGTTCTTGATAAAATATAAAAATACTAATACATAGATCCTGCCCAGGTTGAATATTACTTCTTTTTTCGTCAGCTTCTTAATCACAAAAACAACAACAACAAAAAGAAATATAAACATATTTATTCTCCAATAAGAATGGAATATATAAAATATATATATAGATGTAGATGTATGGTAAGATGTCAAAGACTGATGACTCATGCTTTCTATAGCAGATTTAGAAGCAACTAATGCACTTTGATTATGAATTTCGGGTAACGAATTCTATTTGATGAAAATTTGATAGAAGATTCAGAATTTTATTCCAAGCCGAACATACCGTCTCTTGTTTCGGCAAATTTTTCAGAGATCCGTTTGAAGCAAAATACTTTTAAATAGTACTGACCTCTATATTTTTTCTTCATTTTTGGTGTAACAAATAAATAACTCTCCCTCAACTTATATTCAGATTCAATCTTTATTATCTTACTTGTTTATTTCACCACTTGAAAACTTAGAATCCTATTAAGTCGCATATTTTTTATTTGGGTGATTATAATTATTATTTATCATGATATGTTTGTTACTTAAAGTTGTTTTAAGTTAGAACACCCTTTTATCTGAACCGCTCTGAACAGACTATTTGTATTATTTCTAGAATATAGGTATTGCTTGTTTTGATTTACCGATTATTATTAATTTGGGTTTTTCTCTCGGGGCCGTATATATAATTAGCGTTATTGGCAATTCACTTTTGTACTTGGAATTATCTTAAATCTTAATAGACTTATTAGGAAAAATTTACAGTGTAAAATATTTCAGTCGAAACATCAACGAGTATTTGGCATAGTAGCTGTCTGTGCTCACGAAGAATCTAGTTGGTTTTGAGATGTTTTTCTATGTTTGTTCGAGATCATCTTCGATATATACTGTAGCCAAATTACTTAATTTTTTAATGAGAGACCATTCGAAATTTGTTTAAAGCAGATTTTTTAACAAGTCAATTTTATGTGGAAAATCATGAGTGCTAATCTATATATTTGCTGTAGCGAAGTTCGAGTAATTTATAGGAAAACTTTCATGATATTTTGATCCTGAAAGAAAATATTACACGGTGTAGCAGCTATGAAACTTGTTTTAATAGATATTTCCTTCATTGAGATTGGTATTGTTATTTATCACAGGAATGCAATACATCCTTTTGATTGTATTACTTCTGATACTTTTGTGCCTTAAAATAAAATCAATACATTCATTTCATGAACATAAACAAAATATTTGCAATAGATGAAACAATTTTAAGAGAGTCTCGTATATATCATATAAAAGAATGGAAATAAAAATCAAATATTTCATGGAATATGACATGCTCTAGCAGAATTTATTAGTCCTTTTCAAAAAGAACGCATAAAAGCAGCCAGCTACCTAATGCAAGACCCTCTATTATTATCCATCGTAGTCTACTTCATTACAAGGGGAACAACCATCTCGATGATGACTATTTTAAAAAATGACAGTTGTCCCAAACAAGATTAGTATTAAGTTGTTTCTTATCTTATGCTGGTTTAGGATAAATTAGAATTCTTTTAATTTTTTCATTACCCAACTTATATCTATAAACGTCGATAGTGAGAAATGCATCTACTATTGATGGGGTGTGGGTGGATGCGGATCGGATGTGGATATGAATCTTCACTTCACCTACGCTGACGTCCATATCTCACACACCCACACCCATCTTTTTTATGCAGTTCATTTGAACAAAGCTGATTATAGATTTCAGTAGCTTTTTCCGTTAATGGAGTTGAAGCTTTAGCTTGTTTTACAGCATCTAGAAAACAAATCATGAGATTTAGTAATAAGAAGAAAAAAAGAGAAACTTATTTACCAAGAGCAAGTAACAAATCTTTAGTCATCAGTTCACTAGCAAAACCATCATTGTAGTCGTTACTAGATGGTACGTTAGCAACAACGCCAGGACACGGATTATATATTTGGCTTGACCAGCATTGACCACTTGAAGAATTGATCAGTTTGGCTAATATATCTTTATTGAGACCGAGTCTTATCATAAAAAATTAAATTAAATTGTTTAGAATTATCAAGATTAAAATGAAAAAGAAATGCTTACTTGATACCGAGATTCATCATTTCTGAAGTGCCAATCATACTTTAGAATTTGATTAAAAATTATATCATCATGAGAAAGTTGATCTAAGACCCATCATAAATCCTTTATTTAATGAAAAACAAAGATTTAAGATACATATTTATATCTATATTTCTAATAAATCTTGAAGTATTCTGTGTAAGTCGTAAGCTTTGCAAGAATTGCTATAGAATATAACAGAATGAAGAGGCAATATTTTCCTCTGACAAAGGAGCTGAACGAACTGTAATTTTTTGTTTGAGCTCATGTTGAGATCACAAGGAAGTGTCAGCAAGACTAGAGAAAATCTGAAAGAGTTCGTGCTCATGAGCTTCTAGAATCCGAGTTATGACTATTTCACTGAATTTTCGATCCATTTTTAGCTATTTACTGGAAAATCAATTATCGAATTTCGACTATCGAGATCTTGCATTTTCAACAAATAGTCGGTAGTCACAGACATGTCACAAAAATCGAGCTTACTTAGGAATTCAATATTTTGATAAACAAACTTAGTTTTCGGCTGAAACTTTCAGGATATTCTAAGAATCACTAGACCTATCAATAGGTTGAATTTCAGGTCGAAATTCTATTATTTGATTTTCCAGTGAATAACTAAAAGTGGGCCGAATATTCAGCAGAACGGTAATACTTCGGTTCCAAAAGACCATAAACACGAATTCTTTTGAGACTTTTCTAGTCTTACTGACCCTTTTTTTTGAAGACTCAATATGGACTCAAACGGCAAGTTACAGTTCGAATAGTTTTCTTATGAGTATTTTTTTTCGAATACAAATCAAATTTTTGATGACAATTTTTTACTGACCGATAATAGAATTTAAAATTATGTAGACAATATTTTCTTCAACATCTAATTGTATAATGCTAAGAACTCTTATCACAGGGTTTTTTCAAAATTTGCATAACTAGTACAATACTAATAGTGCCATACCTTTCCGCACAGTTTGCAATGGATGATATAAATTTGGACATGCCAGAGAAAGAGCTTCACAAACTACATTATCTCTATACGAATCAAAGTTACTTGTCGTCACTTCTCAATTCTTATGCTCTAGAATTGTGAGTTTATCATTTGATCTAGTTCTTTATTTTTGATAGTCTGTTTGATCCGTAATAATACTTCTTCGAATTTCATCACTTATTTGTAACGCATTTAAACTCAAAACATATGATTTATGAATAATGTCTAAACAATAAAACAGTATAAAATTTATAAGTCTTTTACGCTTCTTACCTAATAGCTGCGAGAAGATTGTTGCAAATTTTAGCCGCTAAACCACTACCATTTGCACCAACATGGACAATATTTTTGCCCATTTTAACAAGAATAGGTTCCACAGCTTTAAAATCATTTGGTTGACTACCAACCATAAATGTTAATGTACCTTTTTGAGCACCAATAGTACCTATAATATTTAAAAATTAATCAAAACATTGCAACAATATATATATATATATATATTACTAACCGCCTGATACAGGAGCATCGACAAAATCTAATTGTTTACTTCGAGCCAGTTTTGCCATTTCCTTAGATGTTTGTACATCAATTGTGCTACAATCAATAATAAATGTACCTTTTTTAGCTAAACTAATCAATTAATTAAAAACAAAATCAAAGCTTCAGGAAAAGTATTTCCATCTATCATACGGAAAAATACTTGATTGACACACATCACGTACAATTTTACCATTAGGTAACATTAAAATAACAAATTCTGAATTCGCTGCTGCTTTTTGTGGTACAAAGGCTACTATAGCTTGTTCTAAAACAATGAAATAGATCTGTTTTTCATATCAAAAGACAGAAAAAATAATTCTTTACTTTGCTCTTTAAAATGATCAAATGCTTGTGGGTTAGTGTCAAAAACTGTTACATGATGATTAGCTGCAATTAAATTTGTTGCCATATGTTTACGCATGTTACCAAGACCAAAAAAACCAATAGACGCCTACACAAAGCATGTCAATTATGTTTTGCTTTCTTTTTTTTCACAGATAAATCTTGTAACATACGTATCGAGTCAATGATAGATGTACCATGTTGACTAAAAGGTAAGAATCTCGAAAAAGAAAATAAAAAGAATTAAAAAAAAAATATTGGTTAAACATATTCTATAGAATCTCCTATTTCATTCATCAACATAACACGCAAAATACGAGAAAAAAACTAATAATTAAGATGCCTACGTATCAAATATACTGGCAAAAGTCGAGCAAATTAATTGATTGTTGCCGATTATGATACAATGCCCAAGTAAAAACTATCATAAGACTAAGTAAAAGACCATCGAGAGCATCATCAATTACCTGTGATACTAACACAAATTGAAATAATTTTAAAAACGATTTTTTTAAATTATATATATACAAATTTCTTCTCGTTGATCTTCGTTATCATTTTTTTGTTGTAGCATTCTCTTAATTGTCATTACTTCCATCTTCATTTTCAATGATTTCTATTTGTTGGTTTTCCCTGTCTGACACTCATTTTTGAGTATTTTTAGTACATTATAAATTTTTTTCTTCTCGTTCTTTTTCTGCTTTACGTGTGTCAATATACTGCAGAACTTTTTCAGCACATAATCGACATTCTTTTTTATTTAAGCATTTACCAGCTTGGTTTTGTAAATCAGGACCAAGAGACTTATCTTTAAATCCAAATACTAAGTAGAATAGAAACAATAAAATGAATTATTATACATAAAAATAACAATTGTACTTCTAATTTTGTTATTTCAGAAAAAGAAAGTGGTAAATTTGTGACATGATTATCGAATAACTCGAGCCGTTTTAATGACTTTAGCTGACCAAAATTTTCAGGTAACTTTCTGAGATGTTTTTTTTTTGTTAAATCAAATGTATGAATATCTTCAAGTTTAATAAACTCATTGATTATTTGATAAATCGATGGGTTTAACTTTAAGTAAAGTTTACTGAAAATATAACCAAAACTATAAATTATGAGAAAAGTCAAGCGAAAATAAACGTACAATACCATTGATATTAGGAACTACTTTTAAATTAAGGATTAATAAATCAAATTTGTCATCTTCGGACAGAAAATCTTTGAGTTTTAAATTTGATTTCAAAGATACTTGTTGATAGCTTATCGAAAATCGTATAAAATCCCCATGATAAATTGGCTTGTATGTTAAATGAACCGAAGCAGTAGGATACAAGAGAAGTTTTATTGGAACATAGAGCACTCTACCACTATGTGGCTACACGCTGATTGTAGAGTCAAAGTTTATTTTTTATTAAATATTATTATATGAAAATATGTTAAACATAAATTCACATTTTTATCCAGTATTTAAGAGAACATAGTTAAATAAATAAAAAAGTAGCGCTATCTGCAGGACCAGCTGCAAACGAGATCAGGTTCTATGCGCAACAACATTGTCTAAATACTATTATAATTGTGTTTCTATATTTTAGAAACAGACAAACATTCACACTAACAGACAACACATTTTCTGCCATTTATACTTACAATTCGTGAAAATATTCTGGTGTTTAACTATCATTGATTGATGGTCGCTCCAATACTAAATGTGAACTTGTGAGGGCTCCCCTTTCAAAACTGGAAGGCGTTGTTATGCATGTCAACTCCGAATAACTTGATATTTTTCATGACAACTTTTAACTCTGTGCTTTGATTTATTTATTTTGATAAATAATCTCCCAAAATAACTCTTAAAGCGTGGTTCATCTTAAATGACTGTCTAGCATATATCAAATGAAGAATTCAAAGTTTACTGCAGATTTCTGCATTTTGGTTTCTGGTTTAACGTCAAGAAAAGAATAGATTAATAGAGATACTTCAAGGTGATGGTGTGAAGTGTGCGTGATGGTAAGACCTACCCTGACAAGTACACTTACACACCTTCATCCGTTTGATCTCGTCTATCTTGAATATCAAAGCCTAATTCTGTTTGAATCAGATCAATCAATTGGTTGAGCTACTATCTGGGGTGGGTGTGGGTGTGCAGTTGATATCCACAACCACACCCATATTCACATCGACACTCACTTAGTGAAAAGAAAAACAAAGATTATTCATTGAATTCTCTTTCTGTTTGTAAACTCTTTACCTCTCAAAAATTTTTACAAGATGTAAGATAATGTCGTAGTTGCAAGCGACAGCTGGTTGTTGTACGATTATACACTTTTTTTTCTTGTTATATCTCAGCGAAAAAACTCATCAAACTCAAATAAAAGGATTATATCGATTCTTTTTGACCGAATCGAATAGAACGAATGAAACCACTAACCGAACCGAACATAACAGTTCGAATTTTTTAAAAATCCTCAACCAAAGCGATTTCGATTACGGTCGGTCGGTTGGGCAAGGATCAAAAATCAAACAGATTCCATCTCTAGTGGGTGTCGTTGTTAGCGAAAACAAGGTCCATACCTATACAGGCACCCGCGCACAACTTCGAACAGTATTCTGATTTTCGGAGCGTTAAAATAAATCGACAAATATTTTTGCTCCATGCAGAAAAGCTGGATGTCACAAAAAATATGTCAAGTATGTTCGTGTTCATAAATTTTCTTTATGAGTGATATAGGGTTATGTTCTAGTCCGGCATAAATAATATAATTGACAGTTTGATATGGGTTCATAATGTTGAACGACTTGCCATTACCTTGAGCACTTCTTTCTCCATTTATTGGGTGAACATGAGGACCTGCCGATTGGATCGTTATCCGTGTGACATCTTCCTTGATCGTATGTGAGTGAACCCCATACTCGTTACCGCCACCACCACCTCCAAAGGTACCTGAACCGGTCATGTCTCCGTGATTTTGTCCCGGATCATTGTATACATAGATATGATTTCCAGAAATGCTGATGATGAGACTACCCGATGCATGTTTGTGAGTTGGAAGTTCTGCCTGAGTGAGACTTACATGTGTAATCCCACCGGTTTGTATACCGACGGGTTGATTCTTTCCAAGATCAAGACCCAATGGAAGTCGACCTCTAAAATCGGGTACATTAAATGTTCGAATGTGATCACCTATTCCATACAGAGTTCCAATTATGTAGAAGAGACGAGAGTATGTCATACGTGATACGGTCTTCTCATCACAGAAAAGCCATCCATTAGGTGCAACATCGCCAGCAAATAAAATAATTGAACCAACAGGATGAGTGTCGATAGAAACAGAACGTCTTAATTGGTTGTAGCATGCGTATGAGACAATAATGGAAATAAAGATCAAAGCCCAACAAAAACATTATCAAAGGTTTGAGAAGTAAAAACTAACTAACTTCGTAATAACAGTTCTTCGTATTGTGATCAATATAAAGAAATTTTTTTGGTGATTCTCGTCCTTAATAAATAGAGAAAATGACGTTTTTAATCTTAAAAGTGGGTTGATTAAGACGCTTGCTGCAAACCAACAAAACACGTATCTACCTGAAAAAGGCGCTTAGTGCAATTTCCTTTTTTATGAGTAAAGTTAATTCCCACAACAGTCAAATCGACCACTCATGTATGCAAGCGCTTATGTTTGAGCAGCATCTTTTGCCATTTGTTATGCATTCTAGGTACCTGCTCAATTTGTGAACCCCTTTGGCTCCGCCAATTATGAAAATGTATATATCGTGCTACTTGAAGCATAGGACTCCGGTTTCATTTCTCAATAATTTCAATCACTCTCTTGGATTGTTACCTGCAATTAATTTTGTTCAATTAATTCTACGTAAGTAAAGTGGGCACCAGATCCGAGTTTTTCCTGATCGGATTCGGTTTGAAACTTGTGTTAGATATTTCAACGGTTTTATTGGGTGCAGAATTTTATTCTCTATCGAACGGTGCCATTTTCAATATGGATCATTGGGCAAAAATTTTCCTTACATGTGTTTCCAGGTGTGGGTGTCGCTCTGAGTGTTGGCGCATGCACCCGGTTTACTGGACTCTGAGTATCCCCCGTATTTCTCTTTTTAAGCACTTTCATTTAGTCTCTGAGAGACATTCTGAGCATATCTCATCATCTTGGCTCACGACTCAAGCACGCTTGCATTCAGAAGTAGGTACAAGGGACATTTTTTTCGAAATGACCTCTGTCGAAAATAGTTCCATTCGATAGAGAATAAAATTCTGCACCCAATTAGGGATACAACGGTGAGAAAACTGTGAAGCCGGTAAGAATACGAAAAACCTACGATGAAGGCCAATGCATTTGCACTGTTGGGTTATCTTAGCAGGGAGGCGTTTGGATAATAAACACAATTGGTCATCATCGTAGGTTTTTCGTATTCCTAGAGGCTTTCGAAGATTTAACGGTGAGCTTGAAAGTGCATTCCTACACCCTACACAGGTTCCAAGACGAATTTGGGCAGGAAAAACTTGAGTCTGATCCTAACTGTACTTACGTTTTGACTCTAGTAAAATAAAGTAATGAAGGTAAGGAGACCTTATGTCTTTCGTTCACTCATTAATGATTGTTGTATGCATATATATTAGATGTTTTTCAAATATGCAGAAACAACCGAAGTAATAGCAAATGATCCAAATAAATGCTTTACATCTATTTTCGTAGTGGTTCCTAACAGTACAATCGTTCTAGATTTTTGTATGACACTCATCTTTGAAGAATGCCGGTGTTACAATGCCTTGCTAGGTTAGTGTCACTGTTTGTATCCACTTCACTCAAAAACAAGCCGATGCACAACCACAGTGTGGGTGTGAGTGCTGTCATGGCTTAAGACACGATCAATTCTCACTCTACCCCAATATTTCTTATCTCTTTAATGACTGATACAGATTATTATGTCGGATAAAAGTATTGATAGACAAATCATATTAAATGCAAACAACATCATAGCATTCAGAATGATGAAAAGATCCAACAAACACAAGACAGCTGCTAAATAGAAAATGAACATGAGTGG